AAATTATCAAGGGTTCATGAGGGAAGGGAGAGTGGAGAGGGAGGGGAAAAATGAGCTGATACCAAGAGCTCGAGTAGAAAGCAAATGTTTTGAGAATGGTGATGGCAACAAATGTACAAATGTGCTGACATGATGTATGTATGGATTGTGTTAAGCGTTGTATGAGGCCCCAATAAAATGATTAAAAAAGAAAGAAACATCAGACTTTGGGTATATCAACTGTAAGTATATAGTTTGAGATGAAATTTGTGACCCTGCCAGTTCACAACCTACATAAACATTTATAATTTTGACTCTCTTATCTTTTCCAGTTTCAAAATGAAGCCAGATGTTGTGCTTAGGCATCTGTCCATTGCTGTGGCTGCCACTGACCAGAGCTACATGCCACAGCAGGTTACAGTAGCTGTGGGGAGGACGGCCAGTGATCTTCAGGAAGTCCGAGACGTGCACATCCCCAGCAACGTTACAGGCTATGTGACACTGCTAGAAAACGCCAACATCAGTCAGCAATGTGAGTCAGCAAAGATAGTGGCATGCCTTTCTAAAGAAAGGGTTGGGTGGGCGGAGGAAGGAAAGGAGTGTTTTTTAGCAATTGCTTTATGTCAGGCCTCATTCTAGGAGAATCTCTGAAGGGGGAGGCACTGTTAGTTTTTCTTTTGATAATTGCTTCTCTCCATGTCGATTAAAAATCATCACTATATCATCTAGTCATTGTTTTTAAAAATGATGGTCTAGTAGTCAGCTTTTTAATTTTTTTTACCATAGACTGTATTTTATTCGTTTTCCCTTATTGGAAAAATTGGAAGCATTTAAGCAAAACTTACAGTCCTGCTCCCCTGGACTCTAGGGAGCCTCTGAAGGCCTTGGTGTGGATACTTTCAGACCTTTTGGGGGGGTATTTGTGTGTGTAGTGAAAGTCCCTGGGTGGAGCAAACAAGTGTGTGTGAAACTACGAACTTAAAGATTGGTGGTTTGAAACTGGCTTGTTTACCTGCTTCCATAAACAGTACAGCCTAGAAAACTCTCTGCAGCAGTTCTACTTTGTAACACACGACTTGCCATAAGTTGGAATCGATTAAACAGCAATGGGTTTGATTTCTGTTTTATAATTTAGATACACACACAGACACACACACACAGACACACACGCACACACTTTTCCTCCCAGAAAGAGTTCTGTACCGTATACACTAATGTGTTTATACACATATAACATATGTCTGTCTGTATTTATACATATGGATCTGTACACACATGGATCTGTACACATCTTTTATGTATAGAGCATAGGTGTCTTTTACAAAAATGGTGTTATTCTATATATGCTCCTTTATAATCTTTTTTAAAAAGCATGTTGCCATATCATATATTCATATACACCTTCAGTGTTACAAGAGCAGGCTTTAATTTGAACAAGCTCCTTATGGTAGGCATCTAGATTGTTTCCAGTTTTCTGCTATTATAATCTTACTTCCCACATGGGATTTTGGAAATAATTACAAATTTGTGATTTCTTTCCAGGCTTATTTTATTTGTGTTTTGCCTCATTTCTTCTAATGCTTTCCTGGGCCAAGCAAAGAGTTCTTACTTTGCTCAAAGGAACTGAGGCCTCGGGAGGGAGAGTCTTTGAGACAAAGGAGTCGTTCAGCTTGGCCTGCTGTGTTCTTTCCTCTAAGCTGTGTCTGTTTTCACATTCTACCCCTCCTCACCCTAAAGAAGAGCTTGTGTCATCTTTTAAAAGTAAATCAGGCCGATGGCATCTATTTGGACTTAATTATTAAAAAATAATTCTCATGAACCAGCTATTGGTTTATTTATAACTCATCCAAGTTTCTGAACCTTAGGGAAAACTCTAGTAGTATTTATAAATATATATAAATATTTACCATGAATTTAGGTTTGTTTTTTTAATGCTCTTTGTGTTAATTTTCAAGACTTGGAAATGTTGGTTTTTCATGTTATTCTTAGTACTTCTGAAATCGGACAGTGCTTTAGTGGCAAGTTTATCGAGCCTTCGTTATCGCACACATTATTTTATTTCTGTTGCCGAGGTATTTCTTCAGAATTTTCTTTTCCAAATGTAAATGGCTATTTTGCTTCTAATTTAGAGCCCACTGTGTACTGAACTCCTCTAGGGTTAACCTGGTGCTGAATTGATTGTCTGTGCTTGACAGATGTGCAGATCAACATAAAACGGTGTCTTAGCGATGGATGTGACACTAGGATTCATGGTCTGAGGGCTGTTGGCTTTCAGAGAATCAAGAAGTCTGGAGTCTCAGTCTCAGATGCTTCTGCAATATGGTACTGGTCCCTGCTGACATCTCTAGTGACGGCGTCCATGGAGACCAACCCGGCCTTTGTCAAGACAGTGCTGCACAATACCCAGTAAGTCACTCTTCCAGCCCTGCCCGGACCCACCCGTTCTTCTGGGATGCCTGTGGGAATGTCATTGTGGAGTTTCCTGGCTTTGTGACTTGGTCAGAAGCTCAGCTCTGGGTGCCCTGCTGTTTCTTGTTTTTATCTTTTTAGCTGTTTTCTTTAATGTTCTTACCATACAGATTTTGTTTCTAAAATTTCTTGCTGTGTTGTGTGAAATTTTACAGACCAAATCAAATTCCCGTTTTATGGTTTATATATCAAAGTATTCTATGATGTGGGTTGCATTCTCCACAGTGTGTCAGCCCTTTTCCCATTTCTGCCCTGATTTTCACCATTGCCTTTGCCTAAATATCCTCTTTCTTTCTGAATTCTCGAGGAGGGACCTCATGCCCCAGCGGGTAAAGCATTGGGGTGCTAACTGAAACGTTGGCGGTGTGAAAACACCAGCCACTTGGCGGAAGACAGGTGAAGCAGGCAGTTCTGCTCCTCCCACTCCCTCGCGCTGCTGTGAGAGGTGGAATAGACCCGATGACCGTGGTTTTGGATCTTCATGTTCCTGTCTTCCCGTCTTTGCTCTGGGCAGATGTCCTTCCGACCTTTTTAATTCATCAGTGTGGGATAATTCATCCAAGGGACACATTCCTCTCGAGTATTATTGTGTATTTTATAGGACTGTCTATTTGCCCATCTCTAGAAATGACATCTGCTTCAGGTCAGAAGGGTATTGTAAGGGTTCCGCCAGTCTCTCTCTGACTGGTCTGTCTGGTCTTTTTTGTGAACTTGGTCTTCTTTTGTTGTGTATTTTTCTTCCACTCTCTCTAGGGCTCTGTCGTCAGAGTGGTCTAGTTCTTCACTGTCCCATCAGGGCCCTGTCACTAGTGACCCTCTATGAGCTTGATCACTTGCTGGTTAAGGCGGTGTGTTGGCCAGACTTCTCTACTGGAAAACAATTCTTCTTTTTGCAATGAAGAAATATCAAGAGATATGTTGAGACTGTATAAATAGTCTTTTGTGTACTTACGTCTGTATGGATTTAGAGATTACGATTTCTTTCAATGGGCTCGAATCCATCATAAGTTGAGGTTTAGGTTGTCCTGGGTTGGCCCTTCTAGCTAGTCCACCTGTCCCTTTGACATGTGCTCAACCATTTTAGGCCACTCCCTTATTTCTGCTAACAAGCTAGTCTAGGTTCCTCCTGAGCATTCCACTTAGTATTTCTCTAAGGAGCTCTGGTCCCTTCCAGTAGAAGCACACTCAGTGCTGTAGGGTGTTGCTTCTCCCAGACCCTCTCAGCAGTCACAACTAGAGACTATGTGAATGTGTACAGAAACACACACACACACCTGGTGTGCATGTGCACATTTATATTGTGCTTACCTTATTTTTCTTTGTCTGCAATACTGAAACCTACAAGTTTATACTGCTGCCTTCAATTCTACTGGCTTTCTTCCTTTCCATATTTGTCACTCTCTTTTCCAATAGTGAGAACCCTGGCTTCAAGCAGCCTTACTACATTTACTTATTTGAAATATGAAGTACTCTGACCAGCCCCCCCAATATACCCTTTCCCATTGCCCCTGCATCTCCAGAAGTATCCTCCTGAGCCCACAACATGGTTTCTCTGTAGAGAATATCTGTCTTTTCCTCAGGCTGTTGCTAATACTAATTTTTTTATAAAAGAAAATGAAAATCTTAAAAGAAAAACACAAAGCACAAGACCCCTCTTAAAGTACTTAGCACTGTGGTGTGGGCAGTGCACTAGTTTTTATTGTACACTTCATGTGACTGCAAACTAAGGCAGGGGCTCTGTAGGCATGCTATCTTTATTGAGAGAACTAGCTCAGAACGACGTCTTCTTGGTCTAGGAGTAGACCTGGTTCATTCTGACCGTATGTTTTGCCCTCTAGGAAGGCATTACAGCACATGCCTCCACTGTCCCTCTCAGCAGGATCAACGGATTTCTCAACTTTCCTGTCTCCCAACGTTCTGGAAGAAGTGGACAGTTTTCTCATAAGGATAACTAGGTAACATCAAGGTCGATGACATGAACTCTTTTGGAGGGATGGAGGTATATATGCATGTTAAATCTTAAGAACATTAAAAACAATCACAACTAAAAATGGTTTCTTTTTATCGGCTGAAGAGAAAGTAAAATATTAATCCCCCCAATCTAAGATCTGTTATCTAGCGATCTCACTGGACCTCAAGAACTGCAGAGAAGTGGAGGTGGGAGAGTCTTGCTGATCAGCCAGAACCGATGTCTCCAATGTACACCCTTTTTAGTGCACTACTGTCTTTGGCCATAGTCCTGACTCACAGTTCGCTTAGCTTCACACACAGGCCTAGCCAGGCTGCTTCTCTGCACTGCTGGGGAGGGGGGGGTGTGTGGCCTTGGAGTTTGTTAGATGGGGAGGCCCGTGGGGTAGGGACACTCGTCTTCGTCTCTGCAAGCCGTAAACACATGAATGTATTAAAGACAAAGCAGCCCCTGATCCATTCAGGGCCTTTCAACAGTTTGAGCGTAATATGTTTAAAAAGACAGACATGTAATGTGGACTAAATCTAAACTTCATTTTTGGTGTTTAAAGGAAGAAACCTTCAACTCCCATCCCCGAAGGCTTATTACAGTGCTCAATCATTAAAAACTCACTTGTAAAGTTGAATTGGTCAAAATTGGTATTATTAGAATGACTTAATATTTCTAAATTAAGATTAGGGTATTAAAGATTTAATTCATTGGTTCCTTAGTCCGTTAGATGAGCTTAAGGGCTATGGGGAAATATTTCTGATAAACATGTAGAAAGCTGATGGCAGGTTATTTTATTTATGGTGATCGCTTACATTGGATTTGTGCTACCTGGATTTTGTCTTATTTCCAACAAGTGAAAAGGTTTCTGCTCTTGTTTTAAAGTTGCTGCTCTACTCCAGAGGTGGAATTAACTCTCCTGGCTTTTGCACTAGCAAGAGGAAGTGTCGCCAAAGTGGTGAGCTCTCTCTGTACCATCTCCGACCACCTGGAGACACAGTACGAGGCCTCGTCTCTCCTTTCCGCCATGGCGTCCGTGAGGCAGAGCCTGCTCCTGAAGTACGGTGAGTGAGTTTGAGTGGGCACATCATTAACCTTCTCCAGTGTGTGACCCTCTGGCATCTTGTTTCTTCGCGCCATTTATGGGCTGGGCTGCTCTTGTTTCACCATGATTCCTAGATTGACATATCATCAGTGTTAGACTTGGACCCGGAATCGGTAGCAGAAGGGGGAGGTCAATTTGTTTATAACAGCAGCCACGAAAGAGGACTCTTGTTGTCTACCAGGCTATACTCCTCAGATGGGTGGCCGTGTTCCTCACAGCCATCTTTGTTGAAGTACACGGACATCTTCTTGTGTACGCCAGGAGGGTTGGGAAGGTGGCGTACTGTCATCGACAGCAACAAGGAAACTCCCCAGGAAGTGGTGCAAAACACCTTTGTCTTAGAACTCGCTCCTCTGCACCACCATGATGACTAGTCAGCAGTATGTGTGGCTCCTGCGCTTCCCTCCTGGGCCCAGCAGGAGTACACCTCTGCACTTTGGTCTCCGTGGGACCCCTCATCCTCCTCAGCATGGGGGCCCTTAGAATCTGTACAAAGCTGGTGGCAGGTTAGTTTTACTTAAGGGCATCAGTGCTGAGGATGTGACCTGCCCTGGTGTGCCTGCTTGTGGTGGTGTGTGTGTGTACGCATGTTTTGTAGCACCAGCTTTAGCCTCTCTCTCTTTGTGGGTCAGGTAAACCGCTCCAGTTGACTCTGCAGGCATGTGATGTCAAGGGAAAAGAAGACAAGTCGGGCCCTGAGAACCTCCTCGTGGAGCCGTGGACTCGGGACGGTGAGTGGTAAATGTCCACCGTCCATTCTCAGTGAAGGCAAGACCCAGTTGTGCTCAGTAGGCGGCTGTGTGGGATCGACTTCAGTCGGCAGTGACTGTCCGTTTCTGGTCCCTTTCTTACAAAGCTGTGTCTTTCTGGATGCTAGTGACCACTTATCGCTGATAAGGACTGGGGAAGCTTCTTTTTTTGAAAAGCAGCCTCTTGCTCTGAGAGTAGAAAACACTCTCTGCCCTGTTTTCAAGGCCAGACGGTCTCTTTGTTGTGTTTTCCCCCAATACTCAGGAACCAAGTGGGTCTGGAGCACTCTACTCCTGAAAGTGTCGTTTATGCTGGTGGTTCCGGGGTGACCCGCTGGTCTGGCACTTCAGGGGTCCGGGAAGGAAGCATAACTCATAATGAGTGGTGTGCCTTCAGCATTTTGCTGTAGCTCGTTTTCCTCCCCGCTGGGGCTTTGTGTCAGTCTCCTGAAGATGTCCCATTTCTACTTAATCTACTGCTTCGAAAGAGCCCCTGGAGTGTACTGCTCAAGTTGCCAGCAGGTCAAGCCCAGCAGCCATTCCAATGGAGAAGGATGTGGCAGTCTGCCCTTGGAACCCAACGGGGCGGTTCTCCTCAGTTCCTGTTCATCAGAACCAACTCACTCGCTAGGGGGTTGAGTTTCCCGCATCCTGCGTTGAGTGTCGCTGATGTGGGAAAGCACTTGAAGTGCACTGGCGTGATCAAGCATTGAAAGGGACCGTCCTCACTGCGTAGGGTTTGGTTCCAAGAGAACCAGACTTTGATCAGTATCCATAAGGAATAATCGGGTACAGTCCCATGGGTAATAGTTTTCATTTTTGTTGACAAGAATCGGTTGCATTATACAATTTATAGATTTGTGAAATAGCACGGGACTATGAAAGACAGAGATGCTCCCAAGAGCGCCCCCTCAACAGGACACCGGTCATCTACTTACCCCTTGTGCAAACTGTCTAGTTCTTTTCGAAGCCTCTCAGCCTGCATGCATTTATCATCCTAGACAAATCCCAGCCACGGCTTCAAGAGTGACTTCATGAAAATGCTACCTTCTTCAAGCAACATCCTTTCCAGTCTTTTGTCTCCTTGAATGAAAGTCACAGTCTTTAAAAACCGTTGACTTCTTTATTTTTTTTATCTCAAAGCAGAGTGTCATAAACAGATTGTGCCTGGTCAGTCAAACTGTGGCCCCCGCATCGGTTCTGACTCTGGGGGTCTGACTGTCCAGAGAGGAAGTCTCTGTCCAACGTTTACAAGGACATCAGATGCACTAGTTACCCGCCTCAAAGGATAGAGTTGATTAGTGTTGATCTGAGTTCTTAGAGTTGTAAGCAATGAGTCAGTCATCCTAACTGTAGCTGTTGGGTTTTGTTTTCTTCCAGGTTTTCTTACCGAAACTGGAAAAACTAGAGCAAGTACTATTTTTTCTTCAGGAACCGAGTCTGCCTTCCAGGTTACACAGATCAGAATTATGGTAATTCTCATGCTGTCTTCTTTAAGCAACCTCCTTCAAGGTTACTACGTTCGCTCTCAAATAGGATTGTGTTTCGGAGGTCCATGTCAATGGTTTCTCATTGAACGTTTAATGATTGTTTATCCCGTGTCAGGCATGTAGCAGAGGGCAGCGACCCAGGCTGGGTGGATTGGATTATTGAAGCCTGGGGAGGGTGAAAATAAGGGTTTGAGAACACTCCAGGAAGCATTTCAGTGGCCTCATTTATGGTGGTGGGGAGCAGTTTTCTTTTCTAGGACTGGATGTGTTTGAAGTATCACTTCCTTGGTTTTGAGTTTGCTGGGAGCAGTTTGAATTTCAAAACAAAGCAGCCACAGAGTTTTTGCTCTTTTGATATTTCCAGGTCCGACGTGGGGGCATCGGAGCACAGTGTGGGCTGGTGTTTGCCTACAACTCAGCCTCTGATAAATTTCACGCAGAAGAACACTTCAAAAGGTTTGAAGAATATGACAGATGGAAGCTTAAGGAGTTCAGGCAATTTGTAAAAAGCAGGTATGGAATTGAAGGCAACCCCTTGTGGTTAATGACACTCTTTGTACTTGGGTATTGATAAAATATATCCTCCCATCTTAGAGGAAGAGTGTTACGAGCCACCCCCTTGGGGCCATAAGCAGTCCTTGCTTTCTAGCCCGCTTGTAAAGAGGTGTCCGTTGACTTGTTCAGAGAGTCGTTCCCAGTCTCCTCTTCAGAGGCATGCACCTTCACAGTGACTGGAAATCAGAGCGGTATGAATTGTGGCACCCTGAGGTCTTCAGTCTTGGTCATCCACTAGGAAGCTTACTCATACTTAAAACGCGACCCTCCCACCCCCCATCCTTTTATAAAAAATGTTTACTAAACTCCTACTATGTGCCATGCCTTAAGCTAGGAATGAAGATATGATAATAAGCAAATTGACGCACCCTGCTCCATAGAACTTAACTGTTAGCTCAGAAAATCAACAAGATTTGATGAGTCAGCAGGGTGAGGAAGGCACTTGTGGGCACACATGGCAGAGCACCCAGCCTACTCAGGGTTGTTGCAGCTGAGAACTGAAGGACGAGGTAGAATGAGCCACTTGAAATGATGAAAGGAGAATGTCCCCAGCCAAGAGAGGGGCACGTAGGAGGACCAGAGGGGAAGTGTGGTGCAGCTAAGGAACAGCAGTCCCACAAGGACTGCTGGGAGGCGCGGAGGGATGCGACTGGAGAACGAGGAAAGGGCCAGCCCCTTGAAGGTTGTTTGTCTCTGTTTTGGGCCTTAGACTTTATCCTTAAAACCATGTGTGTGTATGGTGGGGGGGGGGGTGTCAATGAGGGTGGGGGAGCTATTAGGAGGTTTCAAGAAGAACAGAAGATGAATTTGTGCTTTGGAAGCTTTGCTCTGAACCTGGCTGTATGTAGTATGGATTGGAGGCAGGGCAAATGAGAGCAGGCATCACTGTCACCTAGACAAGCCAGAGGCATGGGTGACCCCAACTAGGGCAGCAACTGCAGCAATAAAGAACTATGGACGAACCTGACAGATCACTAGAAGGTAAACTCAGTAGGTTCTGGAGACAGACTGAACATAGAGGAGAAAGTTTAGATGTCAGTGAGACCCAGATTTTTAGCTGGAGCTGATGGGGAAATTGGTAATATCTTCCTTTGAGATAGAAAATCCCCCAGGCCAAACTCAACTGGAGGGGAAGAGGATGAAGTTTGGGCCTGTTGAATCTGAGGTTCTATGCTGGAGGTAATTTGAGAGATGTTCTGTGAAATGAAATGCCCATGGGATTTGTTTGTTGTGTGAACACCATATTAAGAACTGTAAGAGACTGCTTGTGATTGTCTTTGTTGCTGAAGCTGCTAGTGGAGCTTGGAAGAATGGGCGGTGGCAGCAGTGACTGAGCAGGTAACACTGGGAGCAGAGTGAGAGGAAGCGAGTGAGGCAGGAGTGGAGCATGCCCAGCCTGACCCACTGTTCTGCTCACTTGAGCAGTAGGTATAACCTGGGCCCTGCTGCTCCTGCCATCTACCTGCCTGCTATACTAAGTGTGGAGAACCTACACTCAGAGTCATGTCTTTTGCTTCACCTGGCTGTATCCCACTGGGCCACCTGTAAGCCAGTGCTATAGGAGTCTAGCTTAGGGGTCTTAAAACCATAGGGGGAATAGTAAACAAAAGGAGATCTGCTTTCCCTTAAAGAAAGGAAGGAAGCAAGGAAAGAAAAAACCTTAAAGGACCATGGTTGAATGTTACTTGAATGGACACTAAGCAGCGCATTCCTTTTAGTTTTTAATGTGGGAATGGAAGAAATTATTCTTTTCTCTTTGTTTAAGGATATTTTATTTTTTTAGTGGATATTTACATAGTAAATTCGGTACAAATTGCTCAGTGACACTAAGTACATTTTTCACACGTCAGCATTCTCTTTAGTTGCATTCTGGTTCTATGTCTAGTATTCCAATTTCTCCATCTCCTACCGTCTCTTCTTTGCTTTAAAGTCCCTTCAGACCTTTTGATCTGGTGTAAATGGTGTTTCAGTAGAGCCACTGTGCTTAGAGATAATATCCTTTATTTTGTGTGCCACTGTATTTTGTTAAAAGGTGACCTTGGGATAGTTTTGGTTCAAAGTTTAAAGAGTACCTCAGAGCCACAGTCTTAGGAAGCCCTCAGGTCTCAAATGGGTCCAGTAAGTCTGACTTTTTTAAAGAATTTGAATTCTTCATTTTGTTCTTTTCCTCTCCATCGATTGTGCCCCTGCTCAGCACAGTCAGTAGGGGTAGTCTGGCACCATCCACTTCTTCTGGTCTCAGGGATGATGAGAGGCTGTCAGTCCTGTAGCCTAGTTTCTTCTCTGAGGCTTTGCTTTCCTTCTCCCTCTTCTCTCCTGATGAGTGGAGACCAAGCGGTGCATTTCAGCCCATCTTTGAAATCCTTTAAGAGCCTTTTCATTTCACGAGGATGCAGACCTTGAATGTTGTGAACTTAGTTGCCCATTGACTTAGTTGTCCCATGAGAACAAGGTCCTAAATCTAGAAGAGATCATTCTGGAAGAGTGTTGAACTAGGGAAAAAACTTAGATTAACTTGTTGAGAGGCACTGACATTTAAGGCTCAACAGAGAAAAAGAGGCTTGAAAAAAAACGCCCGAGAAGTAACGGCAATGTCACGGCTTTATCAGCATGAAGCCAAGGACTGAGCAGGAAGTGGATAAAGTGGCAAGTGGGACTAGAAACCAATAACGTATACAACCGTGTCTGTTAGATTTAGCTGCAGTGGTCCTTGGAGGACCCCGTGGGCAATGTTGCCTCCCTTATTATTACTCATGAGTTAGAACCCAATGCGCTGAGCCCTGCATTTGCCATACAGGCTGCTGTATTTCCCCAAAGGGGGGGTGCTCAGGTGAACAGAGCCCTTCTGTCCAGCACAGTGCTACTGGAACTTTGATGTGTGTGCATATCTTCTGGGGATCTTGTTTAAATGCAGATTCCAATTCATTCATTGGGGATGGGGCCTGAGGGTCTTCCATTCCAGCAAGCTCCTAGGTGACAGATGCTGCTGACCCACTGGGCACGCTTTGGATTCCAGCCAAATGCTTACCCACCACACTACCAGGGTTCCGTTACTAGGCATGTTTTGGATCTAGGAAAATCTCCGTGCTGGAATTCCTTTGGCAGCATCCCTGACTGAGGTTTGTTCGTCTCTCTATAAAGACAACAATGGAGAAATCACGGCATAGCACACAATCCAGTCATCTGGTGAACCATGTTCTGTTGAAATCTACCCTTTGCAATAAGACTCTCTGGTCATAATGTTGACTCTCTAAACCAATTAGAATAAATTTTCCTTCTATCACATACCAACAGCTCCTTGGAAGAACGACTGGGCTTTCTACTCCCATAAAGTTAGTCCCAGAAACCCTTAGGTTGTCAGTATGAGTCAGCATTGACTTGATGGCAGCGAGAGAGAGATTACATACACACGCCTTTAGAAATTATTTGATCTTATTGTTGAACATACACACAGCAAAAACAGACCGCAATCTCGATGTCTCTGAGGGGACAGTTCAGTGACATTGAGTGCAGGCGGCAGCCATTCTCACTTCCATTTCTGAGCTCCGTGTGCCCTTAACACCCCTTCATGAAGTGTCAGTGCCGCACACGGAACACGATGAGATAAAGGTGTTTTTTTTTAAGTAAACATTATTTTCAAAATCTGTGTACATCTCACTGTGTGCTTTTTATTTGCTGAGATAAATGCCTTTTGTTTGTTTATTGCTTTTGTCAGATTTTCAGAGGGGTAAAAAATTCAAAAGGAAAGAAGAGAATTATGATTTCTGTGCTATTTTTCTGGTTTCAATAATTATTTCGTATTTATCCCCTTCACCATTCACGTCTTACCTACGAGATATGCTCAGGCTAAATACTAAATACTTCCTGCTTAATTGTTGTTTTGTCTTTTCAACTGAGCAGAGGCTGTATGGGAACCAAGCCTGCACGAGACAAGCCCGTAGCAATGGGGCTTTCTGTCGTAATTGTTGAGTGCACAGCAGAGTATATACCACTTCAACCATTGTTACAGGTACAATTCAGTGACTGATTGTTCAGCCATTCCCACCTTCTAGTTTCTGAGTTGTTCCTGTCTCAGTAACAAACTCACTTCCCCTGAAGTTCCCAGCTCATCTTTTGAGTTGCTGTTGTCACTTTGATCCACATCAACTCCAAACTCACTGCCATCGGGTTAGTGCAGAACTCCTGTGAGGTTCTGAGACACTCAGCTTTGCCACCTGGTGGTTGGGACTGGGAGGCTTGTGGTGCGTAACTATCATGCCACCAGGATCATTCGTCAAAGAGCATAATGCGAAAAGCAGGCAGCATTTCTATGAGTTTAGCCAAACTGTTGTTTGGTTTTAAGATTTTAGGGGCTATTTTTGTTTTAGCCTTTGAAGATTTTCTCAGGGCCGTTGGTTCAGGGGTTGGTCCACTGCCCCATGGTTCCAGAAAGTCTATGAGAATTTGAAATTCTGTTCATTTACCCCCGTCTGTAATATCTACTGCTGCTACGGCAGAAATACCTCCAGTGGATAGCAAACATTTTTCTCGTAGAATGCTAGAAGCCCAGACTCCGGGCGCTTGACTCTACGGTAAGCCTTTCTCACTCTGGGGAAGCTCCTTGTCTCTTTGAATTTTTGCTCTGTGGTGATATTCGCATCTTGCTTCCCCACCTCCACTTCTACCTTGCTTGTTTAATCTGTTTTATATCCCAGTAGAGATTGACTTAAAACACACCCTACATGGACCCTACTTCATTATCATAACAAAAATAACCCATTCCAAATGGAATTATAGCTATAGCCATAGAGGTTGGGATTTATAACATGTTTGGCGGGGGTGTGGGGGCGGATGCACAATTCAATCTATAAGATCTGCTTTTGATCAGAATTCTTGTGTTTAATCTTTGACCAAAATGTTCAGTAGTGATAGCCGAGTACTATCCAGTTCTGGCCTCTGGCAAAGCAGACAAATGGAGACAAATTGGCCATGCAGTCTTTAGCCTCCAGAGGCACACACGCACTCACCATGATCTCTTATTCCTGAGCAGCTCTCCTACGATGCCTCATTCTGTTAGTTAACCCAAGTTGCCCCTGAATTCCCAGGTTGTATTTGGGTCTGATATAATTTCCATTTTATAGATGAAGCTGAGAAGTAAGAGGAATTTATTACCAACAACCTCATATATTCAACAAGGCTCTATGTATCACATTCCGTCTTTGATTGTTAATTGACAGGCAATATTCAAGAGGACTTCCAAAAGTTCATGAAGAAATTCCATGATCTCCCCCCACCGCACCCCCTTAAAGAATTACAGTTTGAAAAGCTACCACGGCAGCTCTCCCCTGCCCTATCGGATCTCCATGAGTCAGAATTGAGAACGTCCATTATCTCTTGATTCCAGAATGCCACTTAGGCAGCGCCTTATGCATTAACCCTTGAGAAGTTTAGAAATAGGGAAATGTTTTGTGATCACCCTTGTGTTCCCAGGATTGGTTGCTCCTCAGATGACCTTGGAGAGGATGACCCCGTCGGCTGGTTCGAGCTGGAAGAAGAGTGGGACGAAGCAGACGTCAAGCTGCAGCAGTGCAGAGTTGCTAAAGTAAGCTTCAGCGAGGGTGTCCTTCTCAAAGCCTGACTTCCTTCAGCATTTGTACTATTTATTTTCTGTTTGTTGTAGGTGGTGGGTGGCTTAAAAAAATTTTTTTTCTTACTTTTTTGGTTTAAAACATTTAAAAAATATATCTATTTATTTTGGGGGGAGGGCTTTTTTGGTGTGTGTTTCAAGACCTTCCCAGAAGACCTTTCAGGTCCTTTGCTCAGTAACCAAGGATTCTGAGCCCTTCTCTTTAAACCTCTCTCATCCTCTCTAGTATTTGATGGTGAAGTTCCTGTGTACCCGTCAGGAATCAGCAGAGCGCTTGGGAGTGCAAGGCTTGAGCATCAGCGGGTACCTGCGGCCTGCCAGGACAGATGCAGAGCCAAGCGCCGCCGTCTGTGCTCACTGCAGGAAGGACTCTGAGGAGAGTATCTGTGGGGCCACGCTCCTCCTCAGGACCCTTCAGTTCATCCAGCAGCTCGCCCATGACCTGGTAGGGTTTCTTCAGCCAGCAGACCTTACTCATTTAGGAAAGTCAGTGACACTGAAGGGAAGTGAACCACAACCAGTGCGCAAGGCCCATTCATGCAGTATGAATGGGCACACAGCAGACCTCGTGTTACTTGGTGACATCAAAAGGGCCCTGGTAGTACAGCATTGCCACCTGATGGCAGCAGTTGGGGAGGGAGTAGGTGGCATATGACCCTGGTTAAGAAGTCTGGAATAGATCTTAAAGATCCCCCACTGTGGTTACTGCTGGTAGACTGGAGATAGTCAGCAAACCTCTGGGGTTTGTGCCTTCTATAAATCCTGGGGAAATTATTACTGATTTTGCAGTAAATTCTTTGTTTTGGGTTTTTGTTGTTGAAAGTACCCAAAGTTTCCTTTGATTTAGTACATTTCCTAGTGAATAGTGTCAGAGAAGAACATGATTTACCTGAAGAATTGGAGCTCGCCACATCTGATCTACAATAGTGCCCACTCTTGACCTGATTTGGCTTCAGAGCACATTCAGGCTGGTGCTCTGTTTAGCTATGGTTTGGTGGGCCTTTGTTATTCAATCACTCCTGTCACTGCAGAAAGCAGCAAGTTAGAGGGAGATGCTGAAGTGCAGCAGGTGCACTTAGAGCAGACTTGATGCTTATCCGCCTGCATGCAAGGCACAGACCTAACCTCTGAAGTAGAGTCCTGAACTGTAATTACCATCAAGACGATTGACTTTAAGAGTCAATCAAACAAATATGCTCTGTAAATGGTCACCCAAAATACTAAGAATTAAAATGAAAGATTGACTTTTGTTGAAGATTCTGTGTTTGAACAGAAGTCAACAAACGTATGGTTAAAGGCGCATGGGCCCCATGGGTGCATTGGGTTATACATTGGGCTGCTCACCTCCAGGTCAGCAGTGTAAACCCACCAGTCTCTCTGAAAGGAGTGAGACTTTCTAATCCAGTAAGGAGTGACAGTCTCAGAAACGCACAGGGTCACTTCTGCCTTGTCCTGTAGTGACCCTGTGAGTCCAAATCCACTCAAATTGAGTTGATGTATATGCATGTGTACACGTGCACACACACATATGTACACAGGCACACATATATTTTAGAAAGTTCCACACCAAAATTAGTTCACAAATTTGCTAGTGAAGGGTACACATCAGGTATATGGGAATTTCATTCATGTGGAATGAGACGTTTCAGCTTTTCTCTAAATGTTTTTGTTTTGTCTTCTCTGATCTTCATAATTTCCTAGGTGCAGCAAAAGGAAGGTGGCTTAAAGTACAAATCTCTCCTAGATTTTGCAGCCCTTGATTTGCAGATCTTCTGGAATTTCTATAATAAATTAAAGCAAAAGTAAGTGGAGAGTTATTATAAGGTCATAATAATTTAAACAAAACTCAAAATGTCTTGGCTTTTGCTATCCTAAATGGAGAGGGTGTTTTTGTTTTGATTTTGGCTTCCTGCTAGTTTATGTTTTAATATGAAAAAATTGGTGATTATTGAAATTAACAGTTCATACTTCTGTACTTTATTTAGATAGTGTTTTCCCAAATATTTTTCTCATTTGATTAACCTTGTGGGTCACAAGTATGAGAGCAGTATCCTCAGTTTACCGATGAAGAACTGAAGGTCAATAGAGACTGCCTGGGGTGGATTTTCAGACTACTAGTACAGGGATCTTTCCATTCTTTGGCCCCCTCACTTGCTTTTTTTTTTTTAAGCCAAGTCCGGTGTCCAGTTGCATGGCTTTGGAGGCTACAAGAAACTTGCCCTTTGCTCTCTGAATGTTCTCCATCTTTTCTGTAGCCCAAGAGAAGAATGCATCTACGCCCAAACCCTGCTTCTGCAGCTGCTCCAGAGCTGCTTCTCAGTGCTGCAGGGAGACGCACAGGTTGTCTCTGAGAAGCAAAAGGCTCCCAAACAGCGCCCTGAGCGGATGGAGGACGCCAAGGAGCTCTACACACACTTGTGTGATGGTAGGCTTTGCTCTTCTCTGATGAGATGCAGCACTAAGTAGCCCCCGGGGACTGTTGTGGTCGAGAAGAGGAGTGCTCAGGAAAGAGATCCTTTCGGAGGAAAGCCGGTGTTTCCTCTGGAGTTCAGGATTTACTCCCTCAGCAATCAGCCTCTCTGCCTCCGTGTTTCTCTTACACAGTTGTGTTCTATTGAGAGAGAGATTTCTGTCACACCTTAGACCCCAGGATGAGAGTGATCAATTGAAGATGAGAAGCTATGATGGTAGATTGAGGCTTAAAGATATGCATTCAACCATCTGAAGTTCTTGGTTAGACTTTGCCAAGTGGTATCTCAAAAGGATAGAGAAACTGTCAGATAAAAACCAGTACATACAGTCTTTTCTTTAGTTAAATGTAAACAAACAAATAATTTTATTATACTCCCTAACCTATACAGAAGTATGCCTTAACAAAGTTAATACCTTTGTTCTGATATTAACTACAAATGAAGAGTGGTGAGTTTATAGACTAGTAATACCAGATACATATTATAAATTAATGGATGGAATCGATTCATGGTAATGCCAGCATTCATTTTTATCAGTGGTGGATAAGGTCGATGGAGACTCTGTGCTCATGGACGTTTTAAAGCAAGAAGTCAGAAATACTCTTCTCAATGGAGCTGCCATCTTCTTTCCTGACCGACAGACCCGGAGGAATCATCTCTTCACCATGATGGTAATTGCTTCCTTTATAAGTATGGATTCCCTTCCTAAGGCTTGTTAGGTTGGAATTTTTATTGGTCTGTGTGTTCCCTGAAAACATGTTAGTTTTACTTCTCCAAATACTTACCCAGTACTTACTGTATGCAAAGCTTTGTGCAGGCACACAGAAAACTAAGGCCATGATACTGTATTCAGGTGGAGATAACCTGTCTCCACCTTGCAATGCACCAACACAGTCTCCTTTATGACTGACTTACAACTATCTTTTCTGTTTTACGTTATGAATTTTAATTTTGAGACAATTTAAAACAAATACGAAAGTAAACTAAATAATATAGTGAACCTCTACCCCGGTGTCCCCATCACCCAGCTTCAGTAGTGATTAATTCAAGCTAATCCACTTTCATCCATAATATACCTCTCCCCTAGTATTACTTTGGTATAAATTGCAGGCATATTTTATCCATTTATTTATATCTGAAAAGATGATTCCACCAAGCTTTATGCCCCAGGTGTTTTTCTTACCCTCCTAGACCCTTCTCCCTATTACTCAGACATTAGTATAACAGGTGAAAAATGCTTTCATTTCAAATAATACATAAGAATTATATCTTCAAATAGAATATCCTGTGCAAAGTGTGTTAGACAGGGTTCTCTAGAGAAACAAAACCAAAACACTAATAATTTTATATATATTTATACAGATAGATAGATAGATAACATAAGAAATAAACAGCTAATTAAATTATAAAGCAGTACAAATGGCTCAGTGCAAATCACTCCTGCGAGACAGTTGTGAGACACTGGCAGTCCTTCAAGTCTTGAGGGCCACCAAGTAGTCCTCTGTAGAGCAATTCAGGCTATCCAGGCACAGGCAGCAACAGCAAACAGCAAGGCAGGTCACCAACAGTCAGCCAGATGACAGGGTCCAACAGTCCCCAGCTCAAGAGATGTAAATTCCAATGGTGTGGCGAAGCAGGTCCTGAAGGAACCTCAAATCACAGTGACACAGTCCACGGGTTAGGTGTCCCACTGGTAGTGTAGCTTGCAAGTGGAGGCACAGAACAAGCAAGGCAGCCGCACACTGGTCCGATGATTAAAGAGCAGGAGACAAGAAAGGCGAGGCTCGTGGAGCCATTTATCTCTCCGCCCTTCAATTAATTCCACATGTGTTTATGGGCCAGGTTAGCACGATAACTAACTACCTCACAAAGATATTCTAGGCAAAAGATATCCTATGCAAAAAAATTCTGAGTATGTATTTATATATGAAAATGAGTGAGATAAATCTTAAAAATAATAATACAACATAAAGTAAATAATTCCAAAATAAATAAAATGAATAAGTAGTAAACACATCTAGGTAAAGGAACTGTAGAGAGTCCAGTGTCATTGATGGTAACACACAGGGAAACATAGTACACTAAGAGAATCATCTGATAAAGGTCAGTCTTCCTTATACATAGAGTTGGAAGATCCTAATGAAATACCAGTAAATAAATTTAACAACACAGGAATAATACTCCCAAATTTATTGCCCCAAGATAATCTTTATACCTTAAACATTATTTAAACCAAAATTAACCTCTGGAGGCCTTAAACCAAACAATACCTCACCTTATCTAAAGACTGTTTGCCCTGTACATTGTGCTCTCTAAAGAATTTTCTATATGGGATTAAATTGACAATAGCAACTAGAAAGCTCAGACAAGAACTTAGGGCCAGTGATTTATATTAATGAGGAAGATACAATTTGGAAAATGAGGGTTCAAATGGTTGCACAAATTGGAGAATGTGATCAGTGACATTTAATGGTACATATAGAAATGGTTGAATTGGTGCATGTTCTGCTAGGTACATTTTTTGTTTTTTAAATCATTTTATTAGGGGCACATACAACTCATCACAATCCATACATACAGAGCACATTTGTACATTCATTGCCCTCATCATTCTCAAAACATTTGCTCTCCACTTAAGCCCCTGGCATCAGCTCCTCATTTTCCCCCCTCCTTCCCCACTCCTGCCTCCCACATCAACCCTTGATAATTTATAAATTATTATTTTGTCATATCTTACACTGTCTGACATCTCCATTCACCCACTTTTCTGTTGTCCATCCCCCAGGGAGGAGGTTATATGTAGATCCTTGTAATTGGTTCCCCCTCCCCACCCCACCCTCCCTCCACCCTCCCGGTATTGCCACTCTCAACACTGCTCCTGAAGGGATCATCCGCCCTGGATTCCCTGTGTTTCCAGTTCCATCTGTACCAGTGTATATGCGAGGTACATTTCAATGAGAAAAAATAAAACAAAGTTTAAAAATGTAAAAAAATTCTGAGTTGGGTTCACTTTAGGAATGCAAAGTTGGTTTAATATTAGAAAAATCAATAAATGACATCAGAGAGGAAAAAATCATACTACTAAATACGGGAACATTTTGAATGAAACTCAACTCTGATGATGGGTTAAAGCAGCAAAACCAATAGCTAACTAGAAATAGACAGGCACTCCCTTCATCTGACGGTGATAGGAATCCAAAACCTACCATAAGTAGCGTATTGACAGGGAGTCATTAGAAGCGCTCCTTTCATAAATCCATGAGTAAGGCAAGGCTGCTTCCACGGCTTCATGTCAGTCATGTTGGTGGGCCTACCCAGTGCTGTGAGGCACAAAAAAGACTTAAAAAATTTTTTTAGAAAGACTTAAACAAATAATAATTATTCACAGATGCTTATAGGTTCTTTTCTATTGCTTATGTAAACAAGCAGCTAGTAGACTTATTAACAATTTGGTGAAAGTAACTAGATAGAGGTTTTTAAAAATGCCATTTTTATTGCTAGCAACCACCTATTAGCAAACGTATTACATGCTCTCTGGGACATACAAAGACCTGTAGTGATAGAGTGAGCCAGAGAAGCTTTAAATGTGGCTCCTGATGCCAGCGGACTACAGTCTCGTTGGACACATCCACCATAAGGAAGAAATCACCTTGTGTGCAGTAGGTGCTGAGGCTAAGTGACTGAGGAAGGTTTCAGAGAGAGTAGGACCTTAGATTATATTTCTGAATGTAGCAACTGTTTGCATATAAGCTTGAGTGATTGGTTTTCACATTGTGAATTGTAACCTTTGATCACAGCATCTGGCATGACCCAGTCAGTCCACTGGGTAGGGCCCTATCCTTTTGATTTGTCTGAAGCATTTACCAGGCAATGGAGCAAATTGAGTTATTATTTGCTGGTATGTGTTCTACGTAGAAAAGTAGAAGGAAGGCGTGTGACCTCTTGAATGACGTCATTGTCTTATTACAAGCAACCCAGTCATTTTCCCTTTGCCCATCCTTTCTGACAGCTGTGATGGGACTTATATTTTCCTTTCTGCTGATGAATTGAATAGCAATGTGCTAAGCAGTTCATTCTTTTGGTAATTGTGTTCTTGTGATTATATCTCCACTTCTCTCCTGTGACAGGCTAGGCCCTGAGTCTTAAATCTGGGAATCCCCAACAGTGCTGTGATTTGTAGTAGTTAATGCATTAGACTTAAATTTTCCGTGAGGCTGTCTGCTCACCCTGCTTTTCATCATACTTGGGAACAGTGGTTCATCACATTCATGTTACCCTTGCTCTCTGGGCTGTCATGGACTAGATTTTCTAACTTGCACATTTGCCGATTTTCTAGAAGAATGTCACCGAGCAGGAGCACAAGCCATCCCAGCAGCTTACTTTCCGCTCACTGTGCACCCATTTTAGGTAAGTTTTTTATCCTTTTCAGTTGTCAGATATGTCCAATCTTTCGATACCACATCCTTTCATGTGCTTTTGGGGTCTCCTCTTCTTGGCTAGACAGTCAAGTTTCAGGAGTAAGATAACGGGAGGCCTAGGAGGGACTAAAATCATGGTGAAATACTGATCACATCAGGAGCTCAGTCCAAGTCGCACTCCTTCTAAGATGATATGGAACTGAACCCCTGAGGATGTCTTTGAGTATCTCTGTTTTTAAGTGGTTTTGAAAAACCGAAACTGAAGCTAAGGCTAGTGTGGGCTCCTCTACTCAAGCCCAGCTACTTGAAACCCCAATTACAGAAGCCAAGAATGGGGGAGAGGTAGTTTAGAATATATCAAACCTGACTCTGCATGTGAGGAACAAACTTGGAGATTTTTACAAGCTTCGATTATAAAAGAAGCTAATGAATGCTCGGCTGTATAACTGGAGGTATGGATTCTTTAAGAGGGAAGGAATTAATGGCCAGGCTAGGGCCTGCAGGTCAGACAGTCTCTGCCATGGGTGCCAAACTCGTGGGGGTGGGGATGGGGGGTGGGGTGGTGTCATGGAGAAATGCACTCTGAATCAAGTGTCAGAGATGATGAAGAACTGAGGCTCAATGTAGAGGACATTTGAACACCCAGGCTTGCTTACCTGGATTGTTTGATTGGCCATCTTTAAACATATGAGAGAGTGTCATGAGATTAAACAGATTTCACAGTGGTGGTCAGAGGAGTTTATTCATCAGATAGATTCCTCGGGATCTCTTCTATGGGTTCATGGGTCTGTGTATGTAGGACACATGGATACTAGCTCTGTACTCTCCTCATCCGAGACCTTTTAATCTGGAAAGCAGATGTCATGCTGGTTTGTGTCCTTACAGTGATAAAGATCCTGGTGGCCTTCTACTTTTACCTGAGAAGAGTGACCTGGCTGACATGAACATCAATGAGGTCCTGGCAGTCATGAACACGCTCCTCTCTGTGGCTGCTCGTGAGGTAACTGATGGCTGCCTTGAGGCTCCTTGGCCGAGTCCCTTTAGAGTCTGTGACCAGCAGTGTGTCTTGCCCTGGACTCCTCAGCTACTGGGTAACTCCAGCTGTGTTACAGTGCCCACTGCACATAACTACAGAGTTTCCATCCAGCCAGCCTTGGCTTCTAATCAGCCAGCCCCCGGCAGATGAGGGAGGGCGCACTCTCCTGTCCCTTGGCTGTCAGCGCGTGATGAGTGCACGGACATGTTCATGATGATGTCCTCTGGAAACAGTGGAGAGGATTTTTGCCCAGGCCCCTTGTGTTGTCAGCTGTTGAGCCCAGGAGTCATTATATGAGTATATCTGTGTTATACATTTGGTAGGTTATTACATAAATAGGATCATTAAATTTGAAACTATAGTGCCTTTTTTCCTGTGCTGATGGTTTTAAAAAATTATTTCTTGCTATCCTTAAAAAACAAAAAAACGCGTACTTGATGCACCAACTGGGTTGAATGCTCGGGGATATTTGACAATTTCGGGTTTCTAGGAGCCCTGGTAGCATAATGGATTATGTGTCAGACTGTGGTTCAAACCCAACAGCCGCTCTGCCAGGATAAAGATGAAGCTTTCTGCATCGAGCATACTTAATGGTGCCTGCGGATAAAGGTTTCCAGCCTTGGACACTCACAAGGGCAGTTCTGCGCTGTCCTCTAGGGTTGACATGAGTTAGAGTTGACTTGATGGCAGTGAGTGTGAATTTTTTTGAGGGATAGGATAGAGATTCCTGGTGCCACATTGGTTAAGTGCTCACTTGCTAACTAAAAGGTTCGAAGTTCAAATCTACCAATCACTCCATGGGTCAGAGATGTGGCAGTCTGCTTCTGTAAATATTTACAGCCTTAGAAATCCTGTGGGACTCTTCTACTCTATGAATCAATAGCAGGAGGTTGGATTTGGGGTTTTAGAGATAGGACTTAAGAATCTGCATTTTTACTATTTACCTCAAGAGGTGCTGCAGTGGTAGAATCCCTGACTAGGGAGACCAATATCTACCCCCTTTGAATTAATACAAAGTCTAGGGAGGTAGAGGGAGCTTATGGTGGGATAATTCAAATAATTTGTCTTGACTCTTGTAGCTGATTGTCTGTAAATCTCTTACTTTTGTCAGAGTTTTACTGTTGAACCATAATGTTGATGGTTCAAACTCACCAGTAGCTCCAGGATAGAAAGTTGAGGCTCTGTGCCCTGGTACATATTTACTGCCTCCAAAACCCAGACTTGACTCAGTGGCAGTGGGTTTGGTTTACTGATTAGCACCCTGACTTCATTCATCCCCTGCCCCTGGAGTCATGGAGTCGTGACTGCTTATCCCTCCGTTTGCTTGTAAAGACGTTTTTGCTTTGCTAGCTGCCATCAAATCGATTCTGACTCAATGACTTTGTGAAGAACAAATAAAACTGGAGATGAGTCAGTGATGGAGATTGAGATTTGCAGTCATTAGCACAGAGTAGCTTGGGTTGGCCCACCTTAGTCCTCAAAATAACCTCTCTGCTTTTGAATAAAAAGGTCTTTTAAAAAAAATCATTTTATTGGGGGCTCATACAACTCTTATCACAATCCATCCATCCATCCATTGTGTCGAGCACATTTGTACATTTGTTGCCCTCATCATTCTCAAAACATTTGCTTTCTACTTGAGCCCTTGGTATCCGCTCCTCATGTTTTCCCCTCCCTCCCGCATGCCCCTTCCTCATTAACCCTTGATAATTTAGAAATTATTATTATCATACTTTACACTGTCTGATGGATCCCTTCACCCACTTTTCTGTTGTCCATCCCTCAGGGAGGGGGTTATGTGTAGATCCTTGTGATTGGTTCCCCCTTTCTACCCCACCTTCCCTCCACCCTCCACTCTCAGCACTGGTCCTGAAGGGGTCATCCACCCTGGATTCCCTGTGTTTCCAGTTCCTGTCTGGACCAGTGCACGTCCTCACTATGAGTCAGATCCGACTAACACCCAACAACAGCAATGGTAGCAGCTCTACTTCCCGTATCAGGAGTTGGTATGTACTGGAGCTAGACTGAAACCCAGGCTGCTGGATGCTGAGTGTTGCCCTCTCTCCATTGTATTAGCCTTACTGCACGGTGTATGTGGGGAAAGGAGGTAGCTTTCGTTCAAGAGTATTTTCCATGAGCTTTTCATTTGGATTCATTTGCCTGTGATACAAAAGAAGTTGTAGCTTTCTTTTAACCTTCTAGACCATGGTTCCCACTGAAACAGTTGAGTTATTTTTTTTAATAGTTTGTATTGTCTTTAATTTTAAAATATTTATGGTTATATGAAAGAGGATAATTTAAATGTTTTCTAAAAGATGGTCAGAAATGCCTATTTTTGAATTTTTAAATAAGTCTGTTATTTTCCAATGTAACATATATCTGCTGAATGTCTGCTATGTGCTAGGTCCTGTGGTAGAGAAAAGAACCTTGTTTGCTGAGCATAGTCCTAAGAAGCAGACAAACATGTAATCAGACAACTACTACATAACTCAGTAAGGGCCATCAAGGGGTCCAGTGGTGATACAGAGGGTTACTGAATCCTAACTGATGGAGGTGGGGAGTAGACCATGGAAAACGCTTTTCAGAGATGATTATACTGTCACTCATTGTGAAACCATGAATATGGTTTAATCAAAGACTGGGGCAAGGTGGGAAGGACAGATATTTGAAGCGGGATGACCCTGGTCACACTTTGAATATGTTGGATTTATGGTTCTTGTAGGACTTTTGGGGGTGAGGTCGAGTTGGCCACTGGAGATGAGTCAGTGATGGAGATTGAGATTTGCAGTCATTAGCACAGAGGTGATAGTTGAAGCCATGGGTGTTGATGTCATCAGATCTCCCTGGGCACCTCAAGAATTTCGAGAAAGAAAGTGCTTAGCAGATCCTCTAAGTCCCCTTAAACCAGGAGTCTGATGACGAAGGAGGTCACTGATGCTTTTGGAGATTGGTGTCAATGGATGATGATAACAGAAGAAGTAGAAAGGGAGGAAGTGGGGGGAAGGCAAAAAGAACAGGTGTCGACAGCTTTTTACAGTAAAATAGCCAGACAAAAGAGGTGTGTGTACAAACAATGAAAAGAAACAACCATTTTTTAAAATTAATAAATCATTTTACTGGGGGCTCTTGCAGCTCCTATACCAATCCATATATCAATTGTATCAAACACATTTGTACAAATGATGCCTTCATCATTTTCAAAACATTTTCTTTCTGCTTGAGCCCTTGGTATTAGCTCCTCTTTTTTCCCTATCCACCCCCAACCCCCACCCTCCCACCTTTGTGGACCCCTGATAAATTATAAATTATTATTCTTTTCATATCTTATACCGGCTGCTGTCTCCCTTCGCCCATGCAAATCAACCATTCTTTTAAGGACTAGAACATACAGCCACCTCCGCTCTCGGCAAAGACCTCCGCATCTCTGATTCTCGCCGCTGCTCCACCAGCAACCATGACCTCCTGCAGCCGTGTGGCACTGGTGACCGGGGCCAACAAGGGCATCAGCTTCGCCATCAGGCGCGAGCTGTGCCGGCACTTCTCCGGGGACGCGGAGCGCAGCTGGGTGGCCGTGCAGCAGCTGCAGACGGAGGGCCTGAGCCTGTGCTTCCACCAGCTGGACATCCACGACCCGCAGAGCATCCGCGCCCTGCAGGACTTCCTGCGCTGCGAGTATAGCTGGCTGGACGTGCTGGTCAACAACGCGGGCATCACCTTAAAAAATGCTGATCCCACACCCTTTCATATTCAAGCAGAGGTGACCCTGAAAACCAACTTTTTTAGTACCCGGCATGTCTACACAGAATTACTGCCTCTCATAAAGCCCCAAGGTAGAGTGCTCAATGTGTCCAGCATGGTTAGTCTCCGTGCACTGAAGTCCTGCAGCCCGGAGCTGCAGCAGAAGTTCTGCAGTGACACCATCACAGAGGAAAAGCTGGTGGCCCTCATGAGCAAGTTCGTAGAAGACACAAAGAAAGGGGTGCACCAGAAGGAGGGCTGGCCCAACACTACCTATGGCCTGTTGAAGATCGGCGTCACCGTGCTGTCCGGGATCAACGCCAGGAACCTGAGTGCACAGAGTCCAGGCGACAAGATCCTCCTGAATGCCTGCTGTCCCGGGTGGGTGAGAACTGACATGGCAGGGCCCAAGGCCACCAAAAGCCCAGAAGAAGGCGCAGAGACCCCCGTGTAGTTGGCCCTCTTGCCCTCAGATGCTGAGGGGCCTCACGGGGAGTTTGTTTTGGAGAAGAAAGTTGAGCCGTGGTGAGCGTGACACACACAGTGTCATCCTTGGGTGCCATTTTGTTCCTACTTTGATTCAATTACGGGACAGTTATCTGATACTTGTCAACATTTCTAATTCTACTAACTCTTTCGTGATTCCCCTCCACCTCCGACCCCCAAATGTTGTTAGGGGAAAAATATGTGTAATCAGTGAAAAGAATAACCAAGAATTAGTAGATGAATAAAAGTGGGTCTTGGTTAAAAAGAACTAGAACATAACCAGTCCATTTGAGGTTCTCCTCCTCAATTTGCCCTTCTATGGCTTATCCTTCTCCCTTACCAGAGGTAGGTAACTACCATCCTGAAATTTGTATCCATCATCTCCTTGTTTTCTTTCTAGTTCTTCCTCCACAGCACGCCCATTTTGCCTGACAGTGACCTTTAGTGGGATCATCTGGTGGCCTGTCGGCTGTAACTTGCCTTTCCACCCCACAGCACTTTGAGAGTCATCCATGCCGATGTACATACTGGAGTTGGTTGGTTTTCACTCTATGTATTTATGTATTCATTCTACTTTGGAGGAAAAGTTGAGTTACCTTTTGGGGTCAATACAAGGCAGTGTTGATAGGGACCTACTGCAGTGATTATGAGTAAAAGTTTATTCCTCTAAAAAAAACAAACAAACCAAAAAACAACCACCAGCAACAAAACTGAGAACAAAAAGAATGGTCCGAGAGCCACAGAGGGCGAGGAGTTGTTTTTGAAGTAGGAGACACTGGTTGGAGGCTCAAGGGAAGGCACCAGAGGGAGAAGGAGATTGAAAATATCAGAGAGTAACCAGCAGGGTAAGGCTCTGAGGAACAGAAGGACGGTCAGCTGGAGTGAGAACCATTTGTTAAGTTCTGAAAAGCTGCAAGGCAAGAGGGGGGTTTTCATAAAACTATTGTTCTTGGTTGAAAGCCCTTTTGTGACTTTTCCACATTTCCACTACTTTTGGAGTACGCCCTGGGCGGTACCCTGTAAATGACCTTGTTGTGAACATTGTTTATCTCTTCCCTTGTAGTGTGAGCTGCTGATGCTCAACGGTGCCCAAGGCGAAGTCGGCTCCGTGCTTTTCTCCCTGTTCTGGTCTGTTCAGGGAAGCTTGTTCTCCTGGTGCTACCTCCAGTTGAAGAGCACAGACCCTGTGGCCAAAGACCTGGCCGTGGAGCTTCTTGAAAAATGTGAGTGTGAACACCAAGTCTGAGACAGAGGGTGTTTGGGTTTGACTCTGTGTGTGCTCTCTCTAGTAACTCACACCAAGGGGGCATGTGGCTCTCTTTCTTTGTTATAGCTCAGTTCTGTTTGGGGGGTTTGTTATTTTTTCTTTCTTCCCCTTGAAAATTAAAAAAAAAATAACAATAAAGGGAAGTGTGCAGCATGTCCTCTCACCCTATCTGAATGGGGTTGCCCCTAGTACTTTTATTATAGAGTTAGGTCATTTCGAAACATAAATATTGCCTGTACAATCGTGCAGTACTCACATGGTGTCTCACTCTTCAGTAGGATTTTTCCAGCCCTGTTTTAATCATTTCATGCACAAAAAGAAAAAAAAAAGCTTGAACTTACAATGTCTTAATATATGTGAACACTCATTACGCCAAAGACTTACCGGTAGATTCATCTCATGGAAACCCACACAACATGATATGAAACCCTACGGGTGGAAAAATCATATATGGGAAATTCGGTTCCATCGCACTTGTCTCAACAGCTGTGACAGAAATGCTTGACAGTATCTTGGCATGTCACCTAGAGCCCAGCCCATTGGATTGACACACCTACTGCATAAGCCCATGGTAAACCCCGGGAGGAGAGCCTGATAACTAGGTCAGAAGGCCTGATGGACATCCCTAGGAGTAAAAGTGATAGGTCCTCTTCGTGGAGAAGTGGCAAGGACCAACAGAAAACCAAGATCCCTTTGAAAGTCCCAGCTACCGAAGTTTGCCTGGTTTTCCTCCCCGAGGGAGGCAAGTGGGTGACACTGAACAGCCTGTGGTCTCCTGTCTTGGACTCCCCTCCACACATCGGTGGCGGCTCTCCCTCCAGCTTTGCCCTTGATGGAAATTGAGAAAGTGACTGTTAACCCTCCTCTTCATGTTTTGGCAGATGTACAACAGTTCCTGGCAAAGATGAGAGTGATTTTGGAGTCCCTTTTGTCACAGTACAGCGGAAAAATTATAGTAGAAAAATTATGTAATTCAGTGTTTTCGATGGGATCCCGTCAGCTGGTAAGAGGTCGTGGCAGTTATTTGTGAAGGGCGGGAAGGGAGCTAGCAGTCTGCACCCCTGTCAGTCTGAGGCGGAAGTTAAGTCCACCGTTGGTCTTCTTGTAGGTCATCTTTCTGCTGGACTTGTGCACGTTAGACATCTCCCACTGCACCCTCTTGAGAGCGTTCGTCCCGCTAACAGAGCTGTTGAAGAAGCTGGGCAGTGACCCTGAAGGAGGACTGAATGAGGTAACTGCCAGCGGCATTCGAAATGCCTGTGGATCCCCCTCTTAGGCTTATGTCACTGTGTTTACTAAGACATGTCCCTGAGAACAGATCTCCGTAATCAACGCCCCTCTAAGAACTTCCTATTTTATCAGCAGCTTTGCTAATAAGCGTAAGTGCCCTTCCTAGTTGCTATGGTGTGGCATAGCACCACAGCGAAGGGGGAGGCCCTGTACGTAGATGAGGTGTCGTCATTGTTACAGCACATGCAGTAATCTAAAAACCGAGTGAATAATCAGATTGAAGTTTAGTAGAATATGTTGGGAGGCAGATTAGAAGGTGTGGTGTATAAAGTCTTTCCTCCTCCACAAAGATTTGTCATCATCTTGTTTAAGTCTCACATCAGTCCTTTGGGAGTGGGAAAGGCATGTAAGAAAGGAAGGAAAACAAGAATGCAAAACTCAAGAGTCGCCGATAGTTAGAGCAAAAAGGGTACACCACTAATATTTGAAGTCTTTCCACTCCGAATGGAAGGCTTTTCCATGGGAAATTCCTACACAGTCGTCATTTTTAAGAAATTGTTTCCGTCACTGAAAGGTAGCATGTTAAGCTAATCACAGAGTTGCTATAGTAATAAGAACCATGTGCCCACTGTGCTGCATGATAGATTTATGTTGATAGATGTAGACAGAAATATCAGGTATATCTTTCTGCCTGTGTAGTAATTTGTATAGGGAGGTCAAACCCTGTCTAGAGCACTGCTGTAAAACAGCAGCCTACTATATATGACTGGATGTCAAGAGATAAACAACTGTTTCTTGACCGGTTTGCTTACATAGCTGGATGTTGAAACGTGGCAACAGGAACAGCCTGTGGTGTTACACACATGGACTAAGGAATCCGCCCATAACTATGAAAATAATTGCCATGATGTGTCTGTCTTCGTTAGCCCAGGAGCAACGTATTTTGAAGTGGAATTTGATGAGCGATGTGAAACGGAAAAGAGGTGAGGCTCAAATGTCCTTTTAGAACGTGACTCCAGATGTTGTTTCCCAGGTACTGCTGAAGGGGTTCCAATTCAAAGTGGCCTTGAGTGAAACAAGCACACTGCTGCCCGTGTCTACACGGTTCTCATGATTGTTTCTGTATTTGCGTCCATTGTGGCAGCCATCGCGTCAGTCCAGCTCATTGAGAGTCTGCTTGTTCCCCATTGACCTTCCATTCTACCAAGCATGAGGCCCCTCTCCGGGGACTGCGCCTCCTGATAACTTGTTCAAAATAATGTGAGATGAAGTCTCACCATCCTCGCTTCTAAGCAGCAGGCTGGCTCTGCTTCTTCCAAGGCCGTACCCCCCCCCCCTTAGGAGCTATGTCACTATATTTGTGACAGTCTGTGTATTTAATATTCTTCACTAGCTCCGTAATCCAAAGGCATCAATTCTTCTGTGGCCTTATTCATTGTCCAGCTATCATATGCATATGATGTGATGGGCAGTAGCATAGCTTGGTTCAGGTGCAAACTGACACCTTTGCTTTTTAAGGTCTTTTGCATCATATTTGCCCAATGCAAGATGTCATTTGATTTTTTAATTGCTGCTCCCATGGGTGTGGATTGTGGATCCAAATAAAATGAAATACTTAATTCCATTGATCATGATGTTCCTTATGGGTCCAGTTGTGAGGATTTTTGTTTTCTTTATGTGTGTTATCCACATTGAAGGCTTTCAGTAAGTGCCTCAAGTCCTCCTTGCTTTTGGCAAGTAAACCACGTGGCATCTGCACATCTCAGGTTAATGACTCTTCCTCTAATCCTGATGCTCAATTTTTATTTACATAGTGCAGCTTCTTAGATTATTTGCTCAACATACAAGTTGACTAAGTGTGATAAAAGAATACAACCATGACCCAACCGTTTCCCGGTTTTAAGGCCAAAGCATCCCCTTGTTCGTTGTGGATTGACTGTCTCTTGTCCGCGTACACATTCCACATGAGCACAATTAAGTGCTGGTGGGACTCTTACTTTGCAAAAATGTTATCTATAAATCATGAACAATTTACACGGTTGAATACCTTTGCATAATTCACTAGTAAACATCTTTCTGGCATTCTCTACTTTCAGTCAAGATTCATCTGACATCAGCTAGGATATGCCTCATTCCACATCATCTTCTGAATCTGGCTAGAATTTCTAACAGTACCCTGTTGATGTACTAGCACAACCATTTTAATTACTTTAAGCAAAATTTTTCTTGTGTGTGATATTAGTGATACTAGTCAATGATTTCTGCATTATTTTATGTTACTCTTCTCTGGAATGGGCAAAAAACATGGAATTCTTCAAGTGGTTGTCCAGATAGCTCTCTTACTTGAATCTTGTATCATTCTAAATGAATGATCCCTTCCAGCATTACATGGGTTTGTTAATGTGTATTGGTATTCTGTCAATCCCTGAGTTTTGTTTTTTGCCTATATGCCCTTTTCCCTTTAATACTTCTGGTTCTAGATCGTGTTACTTCCTGAAATGGTTGAACATTGAACAATTTTGGGGGGTATAGTGACTGTATTCTGTCTTTTTTTGTCACTTGATATGTTCAATATTTTGCCCATTTGGGTCCTTCAGTGTTAAAACTTGAGATTTGATTTTTTGTTGTTGTCAGTTTTTCATTTTGAGAAACACTGAGCATGTTTTCCCTTTTGGTTTTCTAACTTCAAGTCTTTGCAAATTTCATTATAATACTTTGTCTTCTCAAACCGCTCTGGAATTTTTGTTCAACATGTTTATTTCATCATTTCTTCCATTCACCACTCTACACTCAAGAGGCAGTGTGAGACTCTTCTGACATCTTCTATCGTTTTTTCGTTCTTTTCTTTTAAATGGCCTTTTGCTTTCTTCATGTGTAATATCCTTGATATCATCCCTCAATTCATCTGGTCATCATTCATCAGTGTTTAATGCATCAGCTCTACTCTGAGATGAACTCTAAATGCAGGGGACTATACTTAAGGCTGTATTTTGGCTCTGGTGGACATTTTTAACAATTGGTTGGTTTGCAGTCAGACTCTGGCATTCTGAGTGTTGAAACTGAGTGTCTCCGTTGTCTTTTTCCACAGATGTAGTAGCTTATTCCCTGTGTGTTCCCTCTGATACGGCCCATGTTTATGTAGTTGAAAAAGTATTTCTAATAAATAGGTCATGGGTCTTCCAGAATTCGAATACACATTCTCTGGCATCTTTTTATCACCAAGGCCATCTTTTTCAACTGCCAATTCTTTATTTCCAACTTTTGCATTCCAGCCACCAATAATTATCATTCCTTCTTGATTGTGCGTTCAGTCGATTTCAGACACTTGTCGTGAGGTTCTATCAAGTCGGGGCTGACTCAAAGCAACCCGATGTACAACAGAACAGAACAATGCCCTAGCTGTGCCATCCTCACAGTTGTTATAGCCCAGCCCATTGAGCCCATCTGAGACTGCAGAGGTTGGTAAAACCTTCAATTACGTTTGACGTTAGTGGTTGGTGTGTGCATTTAAATAGTAGTCCTATTACCTGGCCTTCCTGGTGGGCAAACGGATGTTACCCTATTACTGACAGCATTGTGCTTTAGGAGAACATTGTAGCAATGTTCTTTTGACAGTGAATGGGGACACTATTATACTTCGATTTGTCATTTCCACCATAGTGGATCGTACATGCTTTTTCGGTTCAAAATAAGCAATCCCAGCCCATTTCATCTCACTGGTGACCAAGCATTCCGTTTCACTTTGACAGCTTCTTAATGACAGCCATTATCCATACTTTATACATTCCACTTCTTAATTAATGGATGTTTGTAGCTGTTTGTTTGTTTTGTTTTTTTCCATTTTAAGTCAAGCCACATCAGCAAATGAATTCCCTGAAAGTTTGCTCCAGTCACATTATTAAGGTTGGGGCTAGTTTGAGGAAGCAGCCCTTCCCAAGCCGTATTTTGAGTGCCTTCCTTCCTGAGGGCTTCCTCTTCCAGCGCTCCACTGTGACGCATAACATTTTCAGTGACCGAACTGCTTTAGAAGTAAGTGGTCAGGTCCTTCCTCGTCTGCCTTCACCTGGAAGCTGTGCTGAAACCTATTCTCCATGGATGACCCTTCTGGTGGATAAAACTCCAGTAGCATTGCTTCAAGAATCACAGCAACATGCAAGCCACCACAGTACAACAGACTGACTGATGAGCAGTGGTGCCAAGGACTTATGGATGAAAAAGGAGAGAGGGTAAATAATAAAAATTATGTTTTACAGGTATGATTATCTGGAATTTACTGACGCTAGAGGTGGGAAAACACGCTATGACACAAAAGTGGGCACTGATAAATGGCCCAAGGTGAGTTGTGGTCTGAGAAAGAGGTAAAATACTTCTCTGCCAGTTCTCCTCTTGTCAACCCTCAGAGGACAGTGGAAACATTGGTGTGTATTTCTGTCAAAGGAAGGGTTTCTCAGGATTCAGTAAACCACGGCTCATCCCATTTTTGTGACGAACGTTTTTTTCTATATGGCTAGACTCATTTGTTTACTGATCGTTTGAAGATGCTTTGGCTCGACAGTGGTAGAGCTTCCAGCCTACAAAGCCTAAAATATTTATTGTCTGAATTTTCACAGGAAAAGTTTCTCAGTCCTGGGTTTTTATCAGGATTGTCCCGAGTAAATGGAGAATTGTAATCCTTAGCAAAAAAGGGTTGGTAAGCCCAGGATGTCCCTGAACCATAAGCCAGCGAAAGATCCACTTCCCCGTCTCTTGGGTGGGGAGGCTAAGTACTGTCTTGGGCCATTCCCCTTCTCACTGTTGTACCAGCACCCTTGGCTGGGCGCAGAGGATGGGTGCGCACGTTCCCCAGCTGAGGAAGTGTGAAAAGGACATGGGCAAGGCCTCTGACTGCAGAGGGGGAGGAGAATCCCCATCAGTCAGCATCCTCCAAGGAACCCTCCCATCTTCTTACCGATTCTGACACCAACCTCCCCTCGCACAGCACTCTGTGCTTTCCAGTGCGTTCAATAATCTGCTGCACACAGAACTCACAGACTCGTGATTATGGGGTTTAGTAGGGAAAGTAATGGGCAAATGTATAAGTTAAAATTCAGGGTCAGACATGCTCAGGACACAGTTCTTCTGGTCAAGACAGCTTTTTCTCAGCTGTGCCTGCAGGCAAACCTCTCCGTAGTTCTTGGCCTCTCAGCCACTGATCTCCTTGACTTCTGTCCTGCTCTTTTAGCACTGCTGGTTTATACCCCAAAGGGCACACCATTCTGCCCTTAGCCTCAGCAGGAAGGTGCTTAGCTCTAGCTCAGTGGGTCAGCAAGCCCAGCCCTCCAATTTAGTGCCTAGAGACACCCCACTGTACAAGCAAGCTTCCTGCCTAAGGTTCTCAGCTTTACTGACACTGGGCTAGGAATCCCACTCTCCATCTCATGCTCTGGCTCTTGGTTATGCACTGCCACTCTGCTGATTCCCTGTGTCACCACTTTCGGTCCCCTGGATCTAGTAGCTTTAGCACGCAGGGGTCTCGGGATCCAAAGGATTTACTCCACCCCTGCCTCTTCTTCATGGTAGTGCAGTCCCCTTCACCTTTTCTTACCCGGACTCATCAGGAAAAGCAGAAACACACCCAATCCGCAAGGTCCTGCCCACTCATTTGTTAGTACAAAGGCTAACGCTCCAAAAGCCAAACCCAAGCTCACTGCCGCTAAGTGGCTTCTGACTCGCAGGAGCCCTGTAGACAGAGTAGACTGCACCTTTTGGTTTCTGAGGCTGTAAATCTTTACGGAAGCAGGAAGGACGTCTCCTCTTTCTCCTAAGATGAGGGCTGGCACAGCCACGTTAATTCACTGCACTACAGGAGACAAGCAGAGAAGCAGCCAAGCTTTAGCAGGCTGAGCAGTTTTCGGCCAGAGTTGCCTCCTCATGATGCAGTGTTGACTTTCCTGTGTCAGCCTCCCTCTCACCCAGTCCTCCGGGAGTCATTTTGGACGACGGTGGGAGTACATCCCGACAGTATTTTGAGTCATGACGAACATGCTTGCAACTGAAATGCTGCCTCCTTGAGTATGTTTGACACATGAGGGTCTTCTTTGTTTCTAGAAAGTGACCTTTAAGGCTGGCCCTCGGCTCCAGTTCCTCTTCCACTCTGACAGCAGTAATAATGAGTGGGGCTACAAATTCACGGTCACTGCCTATGGCCTGCCAGATGTTGCCGTGTCGTGGGGATTGGACTTGCAACTCCTTGTTTCCCGGCTGATGGGACGCCTTGCTTCCCAGTGCTTGGCACTCAAGTCTGCTCATCGTAAGTCCGCGTACCTGCTGGTGGGCAAGGTGCGCACTAGCTCTCCGGCATGGTGCCTCCATGAATGGCATCTACTAGAGGTCGGTCATGCTCCCTGCTAGGCTCCTTTCAACTAAACCACAATCAAATCACCACCTGACACCATTGCCACAAGAGACTTGATGCAAACTCGGGAGCCCAGCTCGTAGCATGCTGTGCTTTGGGGGGCGGGGTGAAGAGGGCGGGCCAGGGCTGTGGGATTTAGCAGCATTGCCATTCTTTGTCTACAAGTGGAATTAGGTTTACTCCAGCCAGAAGGCAGAAGTAGAGAATAGACTAATTGTATAGCTTTTTAAAATGGGAATATTTATAGAAAGATGTCTAGAAACATATTTAAAGGTATGCGTATACATTCCCCCCCCCTCTGTTCAGCTTAGTTATTAAATTTATCCAAGGAACAAGAATTACAGAACTTAAACTATTCAGTTGTATGATATGTGGATTATATGCCAACAAAACTGTTAAAAATATTAAAATTTTAAAAAAGAATTATAAACCCCACTTTTCTAGAGTGAATATTTCTATATCGTTTTCTTATTTATGTATAATGATATTGTTTATTTTTAATTAATTGAGAGTGAATAATATATCATTCCATAGTTCAATCATGTGTAGCAGAATTGTACAATTGCTACCACAGTCAGTTTCCACCAGACGTTCGTTTTCCCTTTGGACTTTTGGACATCGGCTCTCCTTTCACCTCCCCTTAGCCCCCCCCCTGCAAAAAAAACCAAACAAACCACTTTACCTCCGGACCCCTGAAACCCTTCTTCTACTTGCTGTCTCTAAAGGTTCATCAGTCCTGGGTTTCACATACCGAAACACAGAAAAACACATAACACAACTTCAAGAGGGTGACCTCCAATGATATACCACCTCTGAGAGACACCCTACTACGAACAGACAAAACACAAATCCAGAAAGTGTTGACAGCCAGACCACGTCCAGCATGTTGAAGAAATGACTCTTAAACGTGTTAACTCTTCGAGTCAGATTCATGCCTTAGATCTTCTACACTCGTCTCTCCCATGCCTTCTGTTTAGTAACCCTTTCCTCCCATCCCTCAATTGTGGATAGAGGGAGCTCGCTGGAGGCTATATCATTTTCTTGAATTTATCTAAAGAAGTAAGATGTGATAGAAAAATCTCATAGTGGAAAACAGTGAAATAAAAGTAAAATTACTACACTCATTGGTAACTGGTAATTAGTAGCAAAATTCATATTTTGATGTTTTTCTACCTAATCTTATGATCCTGTGCCTATTTATAAACATATTTATGCTGGGTATGTAGCTATGTTTTACAAAACTAAGTTGACAAAATTGTGAACGATTTTGAATACTTAAGTACTCCAGCTTCCCCACAGGTGGCTGACTGTCTATTTTCAGCTTACTATCCAGACTAATAATTTGAGAGGCAACTTGTAGCTGAAGCTGTTTTATAGAATGGCAGTCTGTTGGCACTTATTTATTGTGGTTAGGCTTATAAATGCCTTATATTTGTGATGCATTAGAATTACATTCTGATAAATGTGCGTGAATTCTCTCCAAGTTTTAATACTATCATGTGTTTTTGTTAAGTGTGTGTGTGTGTGTGTGTGTGTGTGTGTGTGTATGTATATGTATAATGTATATATGTGTGTGTGTGTGTGTAAGAAGAAATGTTATATCAAGAAGCAATTTTATATTGAGTAGTTATATTTCATATCAGTCCAACTCAAGTACATGGATCCCACGCTACCCGGGACCTTTTTCAGTTCAGGTAGCTGCTGGCAATGACACGGAAGGGTGAAGTGAGAA